GGCTCTACAAGAAATCAAGTTTTTAGTCCACAGTCCACGGGGTCCTTGATCCGAAATAAGCATGTGCACCTAATTCGAATCAAATGAAACTAATAATTAAGAAACCGACCAGCAACACACTCGGCAGTAGTTTTTAAAAAGAATAATTGAAAAAGACGAGTACACGTCATGTTCTTCACCAACTGGAATGCCTATTTTGTGAGGGTATTTACGACTAAATCGTCATAAAATGCAGTGAAACTGGCAAATATGGTCCTGGACTGTCCTGGATGACCAAGTATGGATCCTACAGCAACTAGTGAGCACCAAAACAGTTTCAACCATCATTAAATTGAAGCTGGTCGCAAAAATGGACATAAGATGTTTTTACTTTTGACCTCTACCCGCGTTTTAACCTGATATGATATTAGATCGAATCCACGTTTTAAACGTGTAAGTGTGCAACTGCAAGTTGAATACTTGCAAGTGTGCAACTCCGTAGTCATACACTTGCAAGTGTTAAACTCGGTAGGTGTGCACTTGCAAGTGTGCAACTCCTCGGTTAAACACTTCCTTAGATTGGACGCCTACTAGGAAGTGCTCAAGCGAGGAGTTGCACACTTGCAAGTATTCAACTTGCAGTTGCACACTTGCAAGTATTTAACTTGCAGTTGCAGACTTGAGGTGGATACAGAGTTCCCAAAACGCGAGCGTGATTTTCACGCTAGGCGTGATTTTCACGCCAGGCGTGATGAAAGTCGGTTCCTGATTGGCTGTGTGAAGCTCACGAAGCGTGAAAAATCACGCCTTCCGTGAAAATCACGCTTGCGTTTCGTGAGCTCTGTATCCACACTTAGGAGTGTTGAGCAGTTGAACACTTAGTTTATCAGTGTGAAAATTGATATCGGGGTTGATGCGAATTTATGCGTACACACGAAGTAATGTCAATTTGAGCAAACCACAACATTGTCTCACCTTCTAAACGATGAATGTTAATGTTCAACTCGGCCGTTTTGGCCGCTTGGGCCGCACTAGGGCAAAGCGATGGTATTTTCTGGTAGAAAACGACAAACCTTTTCACCAAAAAAATTAAAACCCATACTTTTGAGCGAGTGAGCGTGTGTAAGTCTTATTGATCCGAATTAGGGGCTGATCCGAAATAGGTTCAGTCGCTCTAATAATTGGTTGCTAGAGACAATAGTAAGTTGCCACACTGTTAAACTAAGTGTGCAACTGCTTAACACTTGTGCACTACAAGTTAAATACTTGCAAGTGTACGTCTCCGTAGTTGTCCACTCAAGTGTTCAACTCTGCAGCTGTGCACTTGCAGGTGTTCAACTATGTAGCTGTACTTGCAGGTGTGCAACTATGGAAGTTGCATACTTGCAAGTATTTAACTTATTGCAGTTGCACATTATTTGTAAGAATTCAACTTGCAGTTTGCATACTTGCAAGTGTTTAGCAGTTGCACACTTAGTTTATCAGTCCACAGCGAAGCCGGAGCTTAGAAAATACTCCCCACCTTATTCTTTCTCCTAACTTAACGAACCGGTTAACTCTTGCTGCTATAGGTTCGCTGAGGCAACTAGCTCTGGATCTCGCAACCAATTACTGGTTGCTATAGTAATAGGGAATTTCAGATTGTATATCCCTAAATTAGCTAATTTGTGGAGTCTTGCGACATTTTCCGGCATACAACAAGCGGCCATCTAATTTAGTTTTGGTCGATTTAACGACGGAAAACTGCGTTGTAGGTCTTTTCCAGGGTTGGACGCTACCCCTTTACTCCCAACGGAATGATATTCTGACTGAGTGAATGCTTTTCTTTTGAGTTTTTTTTTTGGGGGGGGGGGGCGTGAGGGGCTTTCATTTGTCGAGTTGAGACATTCCTCAATGACTTTGCGAGCAATGAGATAATTTTTTCCTAGTTTTCGTCTAAAAGACCCCTTGGCGCCTACCGTGGGATACAGCAAAACTGACAA